AAGTGTTCTGAGTTGTTTGGTTGTCTACTAGGGTTTCTATTTAACAAAATACTACTTTGAAATTTACAATTTAATATTTGCTTACTGCAGTTTTATTATTATTTACTTTGTAGTTTAGAATGTCAGGGGTGTGTGTGTGTGTATTGTGACCCTAGTCCATAAGGAATGTGATTGCTGTTTGCATGCTGAGATAAACAAGATTGTTCATTATGGTGGATAACCAGTAGCTATTTTTACCTGCAATGCAAGTGATTTCTAAGAGGGAGATGTGAGGCATTATAGACATTTCTAAAGCCACTAAAGACCCTCACAGTCCTCAATTTCTCTGACAGTCATAACTAGGGAATTTCTTATATTATTAAGAAGATGACATTTATATGGCAATTTGTACTGTTAATTTGTTGTATTCATATTGACTTTTTATAAACTGTATTTTGGATTTTTTTAAGTTTGCAATTTAATTGCTGAAATCAGTCTAAAATCTTTGAATATTGTTTTGGTAACTTTTAAGCCTAACTGTATATTTTCAGTATATTCCTTCCAAATTCTGTGGTATCATTGCCTAAGTGCATCCTCTAACTTGAGTCTATCGACTAGCACTTTTTTTACTGCAGTGAAATAATTTCTTCCCCCTTTTTTCCCATCATGCCACACATAATGGATGGATACCCAGGGTTTTATGAAACTCCTCAACATTGATGGAAATTTTTAAGTTTCACAATCATTATCATATGTAATGTCCTTGTAGTGGTTGCTTGTTTTGGAGTACATACACCATGTGTCAGGAACCCAGGGTAGAGTGTAGCATATAAGTTCCAGAATGGCTGCTCAGTTCATGGTGTCTCTCCCTTCTTTGGGAGTTGCTCCCAATGTGCCCCTGCTCTGGTTATAACTGATTGAGTCACAACATCTGATATTGTCTTGGCCAATTAGGTCATGTCTCCTGGAGATTTAAAATTTAGGTTCTAGTTGCTGATGATTAGAGCTGAGTCATGTTATTGATGGGGCTATGGTGAAAAGATCCTTGAATTCTCTTTTCTTTTTCTTTTTTTTTTTTTTTTTTTTTTTTTTTTCGTGACCGGTAAGGGG